TTTCTTTGTTATAGGGTGGGGCCACAACATTAGTAACAAAGAAACAGAATTTCCGGAGGATGAGGCCCAGAAATCAGGATTTTAAAAAGATTCCCAGGTGATTCTAATGTGTAGCCAAGGTTGAGAACCACTGCATTAGAGCCTTCTGTTTTTCTTGTTTCCTTTTTCACTGCTTTGTACTGTTTTCTTTATTAAATATATGTAAAGATGTTCTGGAAAAGAAAGCCTGTAATTCTGAACATTATGAAAAACATCCACCTTTATCAAGCTACAAGCTCATTTCCAAGCTATTCACTAAAGGCTAAAGTCACTTAAAAAGAAAGAAAATTAATGATTTCTTAAATCAGAGAAAAGTCATTGATTTTTTAAATCAATAAACTGCCTTCTAAAAAGTAATGGAGCCCTAACCGGTTTGGCTCAGTGGATAGAGCATCGGCCTGAGGACTCAAGGGTCCCAGGTTCGATTCTGGTCAAGGGCATGTACCTTGGTTGTGGGCACATCCCCAGTGGGGAGTGTGCAGGAGGCAGCTGGTCGATGTTTCTCTCTCATTGATGTTTCTAACTCTCTATCCCTTTCCCTTCCTCTCTGTAAAAAATCAATAAAAAAATATATTAAAAAAAAAAAAGGAATGGAGTCAGGGGGTGGGGACTGGAGGGGTCAATGGGGGGGAGAGGGGACATATGTAATACTTTCAACAATAAAGACTTATTTTTTTAAAAAAAGTAATAGATCCTGGCCAGTGTGGTCACTGGTTTAATTCCTGGGTTGTTTGCTCAATCCCCAGTAGGGGCATGCAGGAGGTAGCCAGCTGATTTTTCTCTCTCATTGGTGTTTCTATCTCTCTATCCCTCTTCCTTCCTCTCTCTCTAAAATCAATAAAAACATTAAAATAAATAATGAAAATAAGTAGGAATTTAGCCCACTTAAAGGCATATCTATATTAAACAGGACATCTTATACTATTTTACTACAATTGATAAAACAATAACCATTTAAGAATGTCTACTTTTATTGAATACACTACAATAAATGATATTCCAAGTTTGACCATTTGTCAATCTATCATGAAGTTTATAATCACTTACAAAATTTATAATATTCCAAAAAAAACTAGATCATGAATATACAAAAGGTAGAACACAATAAAGCATTTTCTGATAATAATATTTTTTACTTATCTATTTTTAAAGTATAACTATTTTCTAAATTAGGACAAAGTAATGTAAACCAATTTAACATGTATAACCTTTTAGCAACATCAAATTAAGTTCTTAACTTTAAAAAAATTATTTAATATGATAAAACAAGGCAGTCACTGATACAACATTTCACAGGGTAGCTTAGATTGATGGTAATAGCTTTGATATAGCAAGTGCTATGATGTGTCCATAAAAATTATTCCTAGAACAATTATTTCAAAAAATTATTTTGATGACATTTCATTATGTTTTAAGTTTAAAGTCATTTTGTAGTAATTTTTACTGTAAATCACTGTGTCAGGTTGTTGTGGGCCATTCAGAAAGGCAAGAGGTATGTGAAGAGAAAGTATGCTTCTAGCGTTAAAGAACATAGGAACTATGGCCTTTTCATTGTGACATGTCCCCACCCCCTTCAATATCATAAGGCCAATCACTGCTTACTAGTAAAATTTGGCAGTTGCTACTCCATCCATAAAAAAAACAAAAAAAACAAAAACAGTAATGTAGCCCTCGCCAGTTTGGCTCAATGGATAGAGCGTTGTTGGACTGCGGACTGAAGGGTCCTGGGTTCGATTCCTGGTCAGGGCACATGGGGGTTGCAGGCTCGATCCCCAGTGTGGGGCATGCAGGAGGCAGCTAATGTATGATTCTCTCTCATCATTGATGTTTCTATCTCTCTCTCCCTCTCCCTTCCTCTCTGAAATCAATAAAAATATATTTTTAAAAAAGTAATATACAAAAAAATACATTTTACTTACCAACGAGGAGCCACACAACATTAGAATTGTGTTCTGTAAGAAAATCTTCTAATTGGGTGATACTAGGAACAATACTGTCATTCTTCCTTTGATCCATTATTAAAGTTTTTCCAGAGCAGCATCTAAAGGTCTAAGAGTTCAAAGGTTAAATTTAGAATCAGAGAATTATTAATCTGCAAGGAAAATCATGTAAGGGGGGAAAAGGTGAATTTAATAAATATGAAAGTTTATTAAATCACATTCTGTACCTTCAATGATAAAAATGCAAAAATACAATAAATAACAAAACATGTCCACATTTCTATCTATCTACACTAATAAAAGAGAAACATGGTAATTAGCGTACGACCACTACCCTTCCCATTGGCTAATCAGCATATCCTTATGCAAATCAACTGCCAACTAAGATGGCGGTTAACCGCCAACAAAGAAGGCGGCTAATTTGCATTCGCCCAATGATGGGAGGCAAAAGGGGAAGGACTGAAGAATGGTGATCGGCAACCCAGGCGGCAGGCAAGAGCTAGGGGGTGGACAAAGGCCGCCTTTCCCCACCCCCCAGCCAGTGATCGCCATTGGGAAAGCCGGGCAGCAAACCCGACCCAGGGCCTGGGTTGAGGGCTGGCCTGC